TTAGTAGAAAAGTTTCTATTGTATGTAATGTTATAGTAATTTGATCGAAAATACCGTGATTTTACGAGCTGTGTATTTTGGAACTACAATATTGTTGGATAGAAAATATTTTTTTCGGTTCTAAAATAACATATATTTTTTATTTTTTTAAACAAACCAGCGTTTCGCGCTCTTTACAGTTCCCAATGTCACGGGCTACCGCCCTGAACCTGACTCAGCCGGACATAGTTATGCGTGACCGGCCAAATTAGGCGGTGTCCAGCTTGTCCGGCCTTTGCTTTTACCTTTGAACAAGTTTTATTTAACTTTGATTTCGACGGGCAACCATTGCAATAGTAGATGATGAATAAATGAAGAAGACTGATTTATTGAGTTTTATTGTTATTTCATTAGAATTTATGAAGATTTTTTGATATTTGGTATAAAAATTTTTGGCCTGGTTTTTACATTTTAAAACATTAAAAAACATACATTAAACATACGGTACATTTAAAAAATCCTTAAAAATTGTCGCTATTCCGGCCATTTTACACAAATGCCTGAACTGTCTGGTCTGTCCCACTAAACGGTTTTAAGATCTGGCAACCTTAGTCACGGCACAATAAAAATAAGCGTTTTAGATCCGAAAAAATAGTTTCATTTAATCATCAACTTAAGACCAATCCATGGTACTTGACTTTTAGGTCGTGTTTTCATTAAGTTGGATTAGTTATTCTTCTTGATTAAGAGCTAGGCTCTTGTCGGTAGAATCGTCGAATCGCCGAACGTCTCTGTTCAGTGCCTAAGCAATTCCTAATGCGACACGATAATATTTTTTTTCTTTTTATTTTATTTATTAAAGCCAGTACATATAAACAGAGTATAGCTAAATAAGGTACAATCAAAATATATAAGCATTATAGATATCGAACTTACAGCTATCACAATATGCTAGTAGTTAACAAGGTTTTTATTATATAAATATAAGCTTTACATATTCAAATTCATATAAAAGGTTACAAATTTTTCAGTAAATATGAATGTTTTAATTTTAATGTTGAGTCATTAAAAATATCCAAATCATATAGTCTATGAAATTGTTTTTTCATTTGATTGGAATACTGCCGCCCTTAATTGAAAGGGCGCATGTGACTTTAAAACAAAAGATTTGTCAAAAAAATTGTGTAGATACTACTATGATCAGTAAAAAAGGCGGCTAGAGAAAAGTAGATATTTTTTTAATTTAATTTCTTTAAACATCATTTCCTCGGTTTTGAGTCTTTGTCACAAGCGCCATTTTAACTAACGGCGGCAGAATAGCTCTGTCTTGGACTTCATCTACCACTAATCGTTCCCACCTTTTTTCTTTTCTTTGGTTACGCCCAAAATGATCAAACTTCATGTGTTTGTGTGTTCGGAGCTCTAATTTCAATACAGCGAACACTATTTTTAAACAAATGAATAAATAGATGTAATTGATTGATTGATATTCATACAAGAACAATAGACTATGAATAATATCAACTGTAAAAGGTTCAAGGTCCAATGACATAAATAATTTGTCAACAGTATACCGTAGACTGCAAAATAGCATTGAAAGAATTTATTTTCCCATCACTATTATAAAAGTTCAAAATTGTGTTACTTATATCGAAATACAAGTAACAACAAATTTTATTAACTCTTTACATTACTTATAATAAAATAGTGTGTTGAGCGAAACTGATCCTTAAAGGCCTATTCAGTATATAATATACGAGTAAGCGATATTTGCTACCACTGCGGGAAGCGAAAAATACCGCCCAGAATCGCGATACCTTTTCACTTGCGTTGTGAAATAGTTTCGTTGGACGATGAACGCGGTACCAGCAACAAATACATCCCTTCCGCACACTATGAGTCAGTTAGTGACGATTAGTTGACATAATGGAAGGAATCATTTGCGATCATGAAGTCGAAACAGTCAAGTGATAAATTTCATGGTTACAGTGTGGTCTGAGACTTTCGCTACACATAGCGGTAACGACATCCGCTTAGGTTTGAATAGCATTAATACTGTACACCCACTCGGATTTCGTTACCCACAGCGGTATCAATTATCGTATATATATTTATAAGTAGGCCAAAAAAGACGAAGACAGGTGATTATTCTGTAATTTCAGAGGCAACTTTATAATAAAATTTGATCGTGTTGATGAGAGAAATCACTCCCTAAAGCAGGCTTTCCTACACATATAGTAAGTACCGTGCTTGTAAATTAGACGCTTAAAGAAGCCCTGCAGTAGCGCCACTATGACTCTGCTACCGCGCCTCTACTAAATTTTCATACAATATTTAGCAATGTTTTAACGCAATTGCGGTGTCACTGTCGTGACTTGCTCGCGCCACTTTTGCATCACAATTAGTGAACTAAAAATTACTGAAGCGCTACAGACGTACGGTTGCCGCGCTCGGGCACGACTCTGTATTTTTTTTTAGAATCGCGCCCGCGTCAATGTATAGTATAATGACTTATTTGATTATAATAAGAGTCGCGTGCGGCCAGCCGCCTGCGACTAGCCGCTTTGTGGAAAATACGTGTTAGTAGGATTTTCATTACCGTACTGTAGGAGCACTTATTTATTTATTTACTTAAACTTTATTGTACAATACACTGAAGTACAAATGGCGGACTTACCAAGCATAATAAGCTCAAACAAATAAGGGCGTTATTTATTATTACTAATTAACAGGAAGTCTAAGTCATACGATAAGTAAGGGTAGTAAGTAATAAAAGCTCCGAAAAGTAAATAAAAAGTGAGCTTTTTCAAAATACGAATATTATTGCGTTATTTATAAATACAAAAATTATTTATTGTACACCAAAAAAGGAAACAAATTAAATACAATTATACTAAACAACACAGACAACCGTAATTCTATAACTCTCAGGAAAAAGACTACGCTACGAAAACTTTTGTGTAAATAAATATACAAAAATAACCGAATGAAATACTGAAGATTCCGAAAAAATCTTGCTAACGTAATACGCCAACTTAATTTATATTTTACCGAAAATTATTAGTAGTCATTTTTATCATAAATTATATTAATTATTATATTAATTAATATAATATGTTCAGGAGTGGACTTCTTGCGGCTGATTTGATGATGATGATGAATATGACCTGAAAACATGTTCGGAAACGCAAACAAATACGCTTCTGCTTTCCTAACCTACTGAATAGGAGGCGCAACCAAGATTGGACCTATGTAAAACATATTTGTTTTTTTTAAACCACTATGGGTTCCAGTGTGTAACAATATTAATTTTGTCGAAACGAAGATTCAGCGTTGTAAACTGTATTATGGACAGTACTCCCTCCGCACCTTCGGCTTTTAAATTACACTGTAGTATCGAATAGACAAGTACCACGGGGAGTCAGGTTTAACCTTATTATTTATTATCCTTAAATAATAATAATTGAAATTAAATAGGTTCCTACAGTGCTGTGAGAATGTGTTTATAGAATAACATATACGTATTTTCAGTAAGTCAGTATTTCTTTCGAAAGTTTAGCACATTACTCGGAAGTACAGTTTTCTTTTTCTTAGAATTATAATTTGAACAAGCTCTTGATTGGTTGCTAAATACATATAAATAATTTTGTCAGTGTATTTTGTATGTATTTTTCATTAACTCATTTTAACGCAGCTGAGTTAGTATTAGAGTTAGTCACACTTCGCTGCATTTTTGTTTTTCGGTACGTTTATAATTTTATTTTCCGATAAATAATAACGATGATGTCATAGTGTAGTATTAAGTAATAAATTGAAAACAAAGATTGCCGACCTTACAATTATGTTATTTTATGAGATGCTACATAACTGACATGGCAACGTTTTGCTTGTGTTTACTTTAATTTGTTATTTATTTTTTGTGTAACCATACTTCTATCTTATTTCGTAGGTAAAGTAAGTAATGAAAAATGATGCATTGAAAAAACTTCAATGTATATAATAAATGTTTTTCGTAATGGGTTTGAGTTCGCTACAGTACAGATATCTTCACAGAGCATTGTTTTTAACAAGTACAACCGATTATACAGCGCCCCTAGCAGTTACAAGAAAAATCACGTTTATGATGACGAATACACAGATATCTCTAATGTATGGACAACGGCACATCAGACTACACATTTTTGTTCGAAAATCGCCTCCAGTGCAACGGAACAAGGTACGAGAATGTGTAACTTGATATGCTGGCGTGTGTACATACCATCACTGTCATTTCTAGCGTGTCAACGAAAGACTCAACTGCCATTGCAACTAGATTTTAGCATAATAAATAATAACAAAGTGTAAATAAAGTTAAAGTTAAATTAGTTTCATTCCAATAAAACATGGACATGTGTTAAGTAATAAATATAGTTGTTTGTTGAATTGAACAGATGCACATGGAGCATTAATAAATTTTCAATGGAGTGATTACATATTCACCTGAATAACAAATATTTTTTATCATATTTTGTTGCATTCTGGGGTTAAAATGCCTAACATTTTTATTTGCCATAGTCGTGTTTTTATTTAAGGGATGACTGCAGCAATCCCGATCAGACTTCCCATAATAATTCTATAGAAAATTTAAAAAAAAATTGTTTAGGAACTTAAGTACACTTCGTCTATGTAGAATAGGTACATCGAGTAGCCTACTGTGTTATACGAGTACATATATAATTTTCATTGTTTTATTTATCTGCTCTCCATACAAACGTTTATCTTCTATTTCGTCACCTTTGAGTTTTATTTTTCTGTCCGCCTGTCCATAACCGCAAAGATCTGAGGGGCGTGAAATCGTAACAGACAGTCACTTTCGCTTTATAATATTAGTTTGGTTTTGTAAATTAAAAAAAAAAATGTTAAGGTCACCAATAAAATTATAATATACCATTTAGATAGTCTTGTTTACCTATGACGTAACATAGGTGATTGCACTCAGCCACTGGAAAATGTTTCATTTCTTGAAATTGCACAAGGCTATAATGACGTAACATAAAATTTTAAACAATAATATTTTCACATTGCACACAATAATATTTGCACTATCCCCGACAATATTATCGGGGATAGTGCAAATACGCGTATGTAGCATTGGTAAAAGGAGCATATTTGCACTAAACCAACTTTTACGGAGAGAGATTTCACGTTATTACTTTGTTATTTCAATGGCTACGAGTTTCATTTTTACACAGTAAGCATTAATTTATATTGTCTATGGCCTCATAATAATAGATTCCCGTAAATCACGCTAATTTGGTTGTCACAACATTTACGCGGATTTAAAATGGTCACTAAATTATCGAAATGGAAACTCATAATCCAATCCTAGTTATGCGTAATTGCACTATCCCTGACGATGTTATATTTAGTTATGTTTTAATCATGTTTTCTACTCAACAATGCACGGAATAAGATTGATTATCTAGAGCGCCCGAGTAACATTATACTCAAAGTTGCTGTTAAAGTTTCGTAAGAATAATTCGCTTTATATTCCATTTAAACGTACTCATTTAAGAATTAATAGTCATTTACCAAGATCATTAATATCGTTTAACCAACTCAATGATGACGATCTTTTACGTAATAGCGTTAAGAATATAAACTATTATGCTATAAACTGCTAAAACGATTGTTATGTTTTCATAGCGTGTTATGGTAGTGTTATTTTCTTATTTTCAAATGTTTTTAATTGGCATCTGATTAATCATGTTTAAATCTATGTTGTAAAAGTAGATGTAAGTTCCCCTAATATAATAAAATAAAATAAATTAATAAAATTATATTATACGTGTGTGAACGTAAGGGTAACGTAGTATGTACATATATGTGAATGCATGTGTACGTCAATTTCTGGATAATGATTGAAATTATGTTATGTGAAACCGTCACAAAGCTTTATAAATATTTTATGACCCAAGGCAATAGTGTTGGACGTAAGATAATCTAAGTACAGAGTACTAAAAAAACCGACCTCAAAAGTACGTGGAGTTAAGTCCATTTGCCAAGTTTTATTGAAATATCCCCTAGTTCGCCACTATACAGGACTTGACACAGGAGATAATAAAAATCGGTTCTCACTACTCAAAGTATATGTAAGTAGTGAAGTAAGAGAGAAAAAAACGCTTTGAATTGGAGAATAGCAAAATCAACCATTAAAATAATTGCTCCTTAAGTAAAATTTAGGCGCTATTTATAAAAATGAATCTTCATGCGTGAACAGCCACCCTTAGAGGTGGATGATTTTCTTCAAAATGAAATGGGACCACTTTGGAGGTACCCTCTTTCCAATAAAAAAAAGAATCATGGAAACCGGTTCACAAATACCGGAGTTATCGCGTAACATACATACAAAAAAAAACATACAGTCGAATTGAGAACTCTCCTTTTTGAAGTCGGTTAAAAATAGTTTTTCTGTCAAAGAGGTAATATTTTCGTGTTTTTTTTTAAGATTGTCCATCGCACTGGAACTGGTGAACAATCCACCAATCTTCTTCCTCGACGAACCCACCAGTGGGCTGGACACGGTGACGACAGTGCAATGTGTGAAGCTGTTAAAACAGTTGGCCAGACAGGGCAGAACTGTGGTTTGCACTATACATCAACCTGCTGCTTCTTTATTAGAGATGTTTGATCAGGTAAGCTAGTTTTTCATTGACTTCAAATAACGCATATGATTCTCAATTATTTATATAAGACCGAAAGAAGTTAACTGAAAATATTCAAAATGAAACAATTTGTTTTTCGTATCTGAATCGCGTATGTTTTGGGCCCTTTATGCGTTCCTTGGTCATGATTTTTTTAACTTTTTTTATCATATCAAGTGACGGGACGAACAAGCCGTGCACGTGACAGGAAGCTACAAGCCTGTCTATAACAGTTGCAGTACCATTCAGAGCATTAAATTGCAAAGATCTGAGGGGCACTGCCACTGCGCCCGTCAACCTGAGACATAAGTCGATAAGTCCCATGTACCTGTAATTTCACCACTATCCTTACCCTTCAAGACCGGAACACAGTAATGCTGATATTACTGCTTGGAGGCAGAAGTAGGTAAGGTGGACGAACCTCACTGGACGAATTCTTTGTGCAACTACTGAGTGAAGAAAATCTTCATAGATTTCCTTAAGATGGCGCTATGACAACTGCTACTAATGACTAAATGAATGACTGAAGCCTGTAAAGGACCTGAAATGTTGGTGTGGTTGAAAATACAAATATAAGTGGTTCGAAAAAAGTAGCTTCATTTTCAATGTGTAGCAATAGCGAAAAATAACAATTATAAACATTTTAAACCAGAAATTGCTGCTATTCCATATGTTTTTCTCGAGTAAGATATAAACCTATTGTATGGGTAAGTGACGTTTAGTTTTATGAACTCATCTTTTATCTCAACTTTGAGACTCAATTTGTCACTTAAATACTTTAAATTACATTTATACTGAAAATTTAATTAGAGTAGAAAGTAGACAAAATATAAAAAAATATGAAAAAAACAACACCTTACACACATGCACACTCTGAAACACAAGTTAACACCTATACAAAAACACGTACACACAGACACACACGACTCTTTTAAATACATGTTCCCTAAGTTATATTTGTTAGTAGTATAGTTTAAATTTTTTACATTACATCTGTGTTACAATTGGTGTAAATTTAAATGGCATTCAGTTTGAGATGGAGTACCTGGAAGCCGAGATTTCTGATCTAGTTTAGATTCCAGTCTTACACAAATTTTGTCACTTTAGAAAATAAGATCTGTTTCTGTGACAAAAATTGTAAGTAAAATTTGTGGAGACATATAAATTTATTATATTATTATATATATTATCTTGAAAACAAAGTTGGCACAACTTCATTCTTGGACCTTGTTACTCTTCTGTAAAAGACGATTGACTCTTTCATAAGTTAATAATTTCAGAGCGCAAAATCGTCCACCCTGTTCAGGGCAAATATGCTAGACGCGTTGCAGTGCCATGGCTATCGTAACAAGACTCGAAATGTCAATGTAACGAAACTTGGTGTAACTATACCACAGCTGACTCGCATAAAACGCCTGACAGTATGCCCGAAATAGAGTGATTGAGCAGTGCGCAAAATGCTTATATTATTGCTTCTTTAAACTACAATACCTTTGAAAACATCGAATAGACATTAAGAATTTGTTACATATTTGGTTGTACCTAGTTGCAGCTTTTATAGTAATACAACCAATTAAATAAAAGTGTGACGGCTCAAACAGGTAATGCCGTTAATTCGATTATCAATAATTCATTTGTCAAATTTTTCTTTTTCACTACATCATCGTTTCTCATTTCTCTGATCATACTGTCCTACTTCTCTATTAACCTACAAAGTGAAACGTGACATAGAAATGTTGACCTCATCGGAGGTTCTAACAATTAACTGCTTGAGTCCAACTTGTGTCAGTCATCGCTGTAGTAATTAACGAAAACAAGGTCGAAGGGAACACTAATTCATAGTGTAATCACGCTATGGTATAACTTGTAATGACGTTCTTATAGATGGGTAAGTATTAATATATACGAAAATGATAGGAAATATACGTCTTCTATTGGAAGATCCAAAGAAACTTCGACTTTTATGCTACATCATCGACCTCATCGTCACTTTCCATCAGGTGAGGTGGAGGTCAAATGCGCACTTATTTTTTTTATAAAAAAAGAAAGATGTTCAATCTGATTGTTTAAGTACATCCGTACTTCGGCTGAACGATTATTACGGAAGACCTGTCACGTCTCCAACCCGCATTGGGCCAGCGTGACGGACTATGACCTAAATACTCGTCTGAGAGGAGACTCGTGCCCAGGAATAGGACGTATAAACGGGTTTATGATGATGAGTTAAGTAGGTATTTGTAATACACACGAAGCTTGTCAAGCTTCATGCGACATGTTTGAAGTTCTTGTCACAAGCGCTGTAGAGTTGCTTTTAAATCTTAAGTGCCGAGCTAGATATGCCCTTGACCCTTTCATGAGATCAGTCATCTCGTTTATTATTAGACATCTGTTTTGAGTCGTCCGGTCATTTATTTTGACTTTTGTTAAGGTTATTTTTTTATGATGGCTATCGAAGAGTGGTGTAGTGTTCAATTTGATTAAAAGTATTATTTATAGCTTGTTAATAATACAATGAGATGGTGGCTTTGTCGCCAAAAATGGTTTCTCTTAGGCAATACACACATTCCAGCTATTGTCTTGGATAAACATTTCTACTGGTTAATATCTATAACTATTAGGGACACCTTCCAAATCCGGGAAACAAAAGTGCTCCATGTTATTTTAATCTCAATTTCAGAATTACCACTAGCAAAAAAATCACATTGATAAAGGCTGGGCAGTGTTTGAATTAATTGTTACTGAAATACAGATAAGTATTTTGTATTTCAATTACTGACAAAAAATTTATTTTGTCATTGATATTATTATTACTTTTGTTGTGGTAATAATTGTATTTTAAGTAATTGAGGTAAATATACCGTTCTTCGTATTTTATATTTTCAATACACCTCATGAAAGTATTTCGTGTTTTAAATACATACAAGAAAGTATTTCGTATTTTTTTTATTTATTTGGTCAATCAACAATTTTACACCAATAAAAGATCAGAAAATATACATACAAAAAAACTTAAATATAAGTGCACAATCTATTATAGACCGACATTATACAAACAATAAATTATTGCAGAGTAAAAAGAAATTTACAAAAAGAAAAGTGTAAACGTTAATTTAACCATATAAATCACTCACAAAAACAAATAGTGTTAATATCTTAAGACTAAGTGAAAGCATAAAAAAGAAGTTAGGTGACAGAGTTTTAGGAAGGTGACGACATTTCGCGCTTGGTTCTTTCTGCAAAGAAGTAGCGCTCCTTGTGAAAGAGGTCGTCCAGGGTAGTACTGCTATCTTACCTATTTCTGCCGCCAAGCAGTAATGTCAGCATTAATGTGTTCCGGTTTTGAAGGGTAAGGGTGCTGGTGAAATTATAGGTACGTGAAACTTGTCAACTTATGTCTCAGGGTGACGGGCGCAGTGGTAGTGACCCTCAGATCTTTGCAATTTAAAGCTCTTAGTGGCACTGTAACTGTTGTAGACAGGTATGTCGCTTAACATCCGGCGCACGTCTTGTTCGTCCCGTCACTTGATATTATAAGAAAGAAGTAGCGTAAATCAATCGTTGCGTTATGACCATTGTAGAACTGTCAAAGCCTAGCAATGGGAGAATTCAAGCCTAAAACAATTCTGCGAAAATACAATTTAAATACATACGAGAAAGTATTTTGTAATCTATATTTTAATTACTTATTCTTCTTCCCCGATACACCCACCAGTGGAATGGACACATTGACGACAATACATTGTGTCAAGCTGTTAAAACAGGCCGCCACACACAGCAGAACCGTTGTTTGACTATAAATCAACCAGTAGCCCAATCGCGCTAAATACCAACGTAAAAACCAATGCTGAACCAAATGTAAACGCTGTCAAAGTGACACGTTGTGTACATTTGCGATCGCGCTAATATTTTAACATTTAAACTACATATGTATCGTTGAGGGAACGTTATGTCACAGGAAAAACCAAATATAAAACGCTGGTACTTAATTGTAGTAGGCACGTATTTTGGCTAGTCCTTGTAACAATGAACAGATTTCGTAAAATTTCAGACCTTGCGTTACCAGAATGAAGCCAATCAATATTCTGCATACCGTCATAAACGAAGTAATATTTAATGGAATTGCACGTTTTAATTGTCTTCCCCTTCATCATCGGTGGACTAGACATAGGTTGAAACAAAAACAGCTTCTGCGTACTTGGATGACAAAAATCCGTGATAATGACCCGTTTAGCTCTTGCGAGACAACCCAGTCTCGATCTAAAATGTTTAAATTAAATATTGCAATGATAAATGTATGTTTCTTGCACATTCTTGTCAGGGGAATCTGCCTTACGAATCCGCAGTAGAGTTTAATAATGTATGACGTTTTCAAGTGTAATTTGCGTATCTATGAAATAAAGATTATTTGGGTTAGGCTGGGGTTCCATCTGTATATTGTGGATGTTTCAATGATACGCACGAAGCGTTACGCTTCCACATTCATATGGCTAATGGCTATGGAGTGTAATTCTTTGTCTGCAGACTTATTCCCTGAACTCTACAAGTTGGGACTTTTGAAGGCGAGAGTGACTAGGCATTATTTAGATGTGCATGCTCCATCGTCGATCTTGACATAACTTTCCATCAGGTGAGACGAAGGTCAAATGCGCATTTACCTTTAATAAAAATTTAAAAAGTCAGTGGAAATCCCAAACAAAGTCATTAAATATAGGTATTATGTAAACAAAAGTATAATATATACCTATACTTACACACACAGCATACAGTTCAGTACAATGTTGTAAAAATAAATGGATAAATATGTCGCCGTTATATGTAGGGCTCATGGGACATTTTATAAAGAATATTATATACTGCCATCATTGACTTACAAATAAATGGACGACGGGTCTAATACAAAAACCACGAAAAAAATGTCCCGAGTCAACCTATTCGAAATTTAAATTGTAATGTCACCGCAGTATCGCGCTGTCAGTCGAACAAATGAAGAT